TAAGTTTCCCAAGGGTATCCATAGCCGCAACACCAATACTTGCACCTCTAGAATTTACTAGTAAACCTGCATCAGTAAATAATAATATACCATCTGGGTGGTTCGTTATCTGAAACGCTAAGCAAATCCCATTTTGAGGGGAAATCAATGAGCAAGTAGCCAAAATATTCTTATATTATGATAATCAAGTAGTGACTTAGAAAAAGTATCAACCGAGTTGAAATATGACTTTCAAATTAATTTCTGAATGAGTGGATGTTGCCAAATGGAGTGCATGTTAGCAAAAGGAGTTGTGATGCCATACGCAAAAAGGAAGAGATTGATTCAAACCTATCATGATTAAAGTACCATGCATTCCTAGATTTTCATATTTGCCACATAATATTAATACTTAAATTTAATAACTCTAATGACTCGGGATATTGGGTAGTATTAGAAACCAATGTGCACCACCAGACTCAAATGAGGTATTGTCACTCTCTTAGAATGTGAGTTGTCCGTGAAAATACAAGGCATTTATGGTATTGACACGTGAGTTGTCCGTGCAGCACGTGAGTTGTCCATGCAGTTGTGATTTGTAATGTGGGCATAAGATGCTAGGTGATTAGGGTTTGTAAATTGGGTCCCCCGATTTGTGAGTCTGAGGTGTGGTACCTCAGGGTAATTCTTGTACAAATCTTGTGTGAAAGTGGTTGTTTATTGGGTTGTTACTTGTTTTCCCTTACTTGGTTTCACCGGACTTTGACTTTATTACTTGTTGTTCCTTGTTGCTAATTGTTGCTTCTAGTTTTCTATTGCAAGTATTGTTATGTTATTTTTACCATAATTAGATTTATATTTATATTGTTCCATGTTAGTTTTACATTCATACTTGTACATGTTATTAAGTCTAGTGGGTGTCCTGACTGTCCCTCGTCACTAGTCCACGGAGGTTAGTCTTGATACTTACTGGGTACAGCTGTGGTGTACTTATGCTATGCTTTCTGCACATTTTTGTGCAGATCCAGGTACTTCGGGGTTTGTTGAACATTAGCTAGCTGATCGGGCATTGCTATGGAGACTCAAGGTATGCCTAAAGTCGCGTTTGCAATCCTCGGAGTCACTTTCTAAAGTTTATTTCGTATAGTTTATTTTTATTCTGGAACATACTTAGAAAATTTTCTAGTGAACTCAGTAGAGCTTATGACTTGTACTACCGGTTTTGGTATGTTGTATATCATGTTAGGATTATTGGCTTTATATAGAGATATATGGTTCATGTTGAACAGTTATTTGGTTAAATTCTATTATTTATTCTGTAAGTGTTAGGCTTACCTTGTCCGCACCCGTCTGGCTTGCCATGCCTTGTCTTAGCTTGCCTTAGTTTTTCCACCCCTTGCTATGCTTTTGTTGTTTGTTGTCTTTGCCTTGCCATGGTCTTGTCATGCCTTGGCACCTAAGCCACATGCTGTCATGCCACAGTCCATGCCCATCAACACTTGCCCATGTCGGACAACCTTGTTAACATGATGCCACAGTCATCATAGGGTAGTGCTGAGGTGCTGAGGTCCATCATGTAAATCGTTCGTCACGCCCATGCCATGTTCGATCAATCAAGCTGAAGGGCTAACAAACTTCTTGGTTTGCGTTTGTGGTCTCTGTCGCAATTTGAAAAGCTTTTATGTGGAAATTTAAAGAAAATATGATTTTTGTCATTTTGAACAACTTGAGTTGACCACAGTCAATATTTTATGAAAAGGACCTCGGATCGGTATTTTGACGATTTTGGTAGGTTTGTATTTGATGGGTTTTCAATGTCTTTGCCTTATGTTTCTTATGCTTTGATGATCTAACAAACTTATTGTCAAGAACCAGATAAAGAACCTTACCCACCTGGTGTACTTTTCAAATGAATAATGTTCAGTCTGATCTCCAGCAAGCGCGTGAACAACCACAAGGAAGAACATAACAGGGACCTGGTCCCTTAGGGTTCTCCGATAGAAGTACAAGTCAACTGTACAGCTAGAACGTAATAGTAGATAGTGACTATGTGCAACTGTTACAAAGAGGAATACAACAGGGACCTGGTCCCTTATGGTTCTCTGACAGAAGTACAAGTCAACTATACAGCTGGAACGCAACTGCAGAAAGTGACTGTCTGCAACTGTACACGCGACAGTGCAGCAGACAGTGCAGCAGTCACTTCTCATTGGGAACAAGCGTGTACCAAGATTTGACATCACCATTGTGATGTCTTTTGTAGTATAACAACCTGGTGCAAGGCACAATACATTCACTTGGGCATTCAGTGATATTCTCTCAAGCATTAAAGTGTTCATCCGGCATTAAAGTCACTGGTGTGTCAAGAACAAGAAGAAAACTCCACTAAAGGATCAGTTTCACAATGAGTCTATGTGTATCTGTAGTTGAGTTGTAATCTTGTTATTTTTTCTTCATTGTAACTCATATCTTGCATTCTTAGAAGCTTTGTTTTAGGAAACCCAAAATCCGTAAATTTTCTGAGTTTATGTTGTGACTAGGTTTAGTCATAAGTTTAAAGCCTTTGTAACTAGAGAGTCACAAAGTGGCTTGTGGTAAGAGTATCACAAGTTAGTTAAGTTGAATCCTTTGTAGTAGAGGTATTACAAAGTGGCTTGTAATAGTGAGATTATAAGTTAGTGAATTTGAAAGCCTACAAGTGTAGGTCGTGGTTTTTGTCCCCTTATGTGGGATTTTTCCACGTAAAAATCCTGTTTCTCATTTACTTACAGTTTTACTAATTTGAAAGCCTATAGTTGTTCTTTGAAATTTCATTCGCTTTTAGGGTTGGTTTAGATATTATTTTGGTGATTTGATTGTGCGAGCAAGTTTGTATGATGTTATTACACTTGTGTGCATGTTTGACTTAGAGCCCGAGGGGCTCGGTGAGTTTTGAACGTGTTTCAAATGAGTTTTGCTAGTGTGAAGATTAGTGGTGCAATACCATTTCTGGTGTTTGCTGTAGATCTCACATTTGTGAGGTAAGCCTCACTTTTGCGAATTGGATTTCGCATTTGTAAGCAGGGCATGGGATTGGGTAACCCCGCATTTGCGAGGAAATGGTTCGCAATTATGAACAGCTAAGGATCGCATTAGCGATCACGTGGTTGCATTTATGATGCCTGGCAAAACAGTATTCTTTTGCAATTGCAAAGTTGCTGGTCGCATTTGCGAAGGTGGGAACTTCAAATTTTTTGTCGCATTTGTGAATTCTGTGGCTCTATGGCAGAGTTCGCATTTGATGGGTTTTCAATGTCTTTGCCTTATGTTTTGATGATCTAACAAGCTTACTATCAAGAACCAGATAGGGAATCTAACACACTTGGTACACATTACAAATGAACGGATTCTAGCCAGGACTCCAGCTAATGTGAATTGTTGCAAGTGTAGAAAATAGAAAAACAAGACAAGGACCCGATCCCTTGTGTTTCCCTGACAGCAGTACGAAAGTCAACTGTGCGCAGTTGGAAAGTGTCTTCCACAGAAACAGTGCACACGATGTAGCAGTTTTGCAGTTAATTGCCCTTTGACCAACCAAGTGCTTACATCATTCAAGTGATGTCATCAAAGGTGCATTAACAAGAGAAATATAACAAAACATCACTTGAACACTTGAGAATTTACTTCAAGCATTCAAGTCTTCTGCAATAGTGAACTTAATTCTAAAGAGCTTGAAGAACAAAGTTAAACGCTACTATGGACCAGTTCCTAAAACTAGTATTTTGTTGTCTTTAGTTGAGTTGTAACTTTGTGATTGTTCTTATTGTAATTCCTAAATTGCCTAGCTACAAGCGTTGCTTAGGAACCCCTTTGTAAAACCATAAACTTTCTGAGTTTGTGTTGTGACTAGAGTTAGTCATAAGTTAAAGTCTTTGTAACTAGTGAGTGACAAAGTGGCTTGTGGTAAGTTTATCACAAGTTAGTTGAGTTGAAATCTTTGTAATAGAGTCATTACAAAGTGGCTTGTAATAGTGTGTTTAAAAGTTAGTGAACTTGAAAGCCTACAAATATAGGTCGTGGTTATTTTTGCCCCCTTGAGATGAGATCTTTCCACATAAAAATTATGTGTCTCATTTACTACTGTTTCATTAGTATTCTCAGTGGAAACTCATAGAGGACCAGGTACAATATAGTTTGGTGGACTCATATAAACTAACAATTGGTATCAGAGTGGGTTCCTCCTATCAGGCTAACACCTAGGAAGGATCCGTATGGCTGCTCCATCAAACTTTGTAGAAGGTCAATCTACGTACAGACCACCCGGGTTCAATGGTCAATACTATGGGTGGTGGAAGACAAGAATGCATGATTTTGTCATGGCTGAAGATTCTGAGTTATGGGATGTCATATGTGATGGTCCTTACATCCTAACAAAAGCAGTTGGAGACCTTCCATTGACAATGCCAAAAACCAGAAAAGAATACACTGACGTAGACAGGAAAGCTGTGGAGAAAAATTTTGTTCCAAGAAAATTTTGGTATGTGGAATAGGACCTCATGAATACAATAGAATTTTTGCTTTATGAAACTGCAAAGGAGATATGAGAAGCTCTGCAAATAGCATATGAGGGAACCACTCAAGTAAAGCAATCCAAGATTGATATGCTCACCACCAAGTATGAACTATTTAGGATGAAGGATGATGAATCTATTCAAGATATACACACAAGATTCACCTCTATCATAAATGAGTTACACTCACTTGGTGAAATTATTCCCAGAAACAAGCTACTGAGGAAAATTCTTAGTATCCTGCCCAGTTCTTGGGAAAGCAAGGTGAATGCTATTACTGAAGCAAAGGACCTGCAGGAGCTGACCATAGATGAGCTAGTTGGAAATCTGAAGACCTACGAGATGAAGAGGAAGATAGATAGCGAAAGAAGAGAACCAAAGAAAGAAAAGAACCTATTACTCAAAGCTGAAAGTAATGACTCGAGTGAGGAGGATAGTGACATAGCTTACTTAACCAAAAGATTTCAAAAGATGGTCAGAAGAAATGGAGGAATACTGAAAAGGGGCAACTCCAGCAAACCAAAGAACTATGATCTCTGCCATAAGTGTGGAAAGCCTGGGCACTTCATTAAAGATTGTCCTCTCCTGAAGCAAGAGCACTCCAAGTACAACCCTAAGAAAGCAGCCAAGAGGAACTCGGTTCCTGACAAGGACTTCAAGAGGAAGGGATCTGCTGACAATGTGGTGAAACAGGCTCTTGCAGCATGGGGAGACTCCTCTAGTGAGTTTGAAGATGAAACTGATGTAGGTGACAGCTCCATGATGGCAGTTGAAAGTGAGGAAAATGAATATGATTCAATATTTGCTTTGATGGCCCAATCATATGATGATGAAGACGATGACAACTGTGAGGTAAATTTCAGGGATGTTCAGAGAAATCTGAAATCCTACTCCCCTAAGAAACTCATGTCTTTAGCTAGTGTATTTATTGATTCATATCATAGTCATGTGGAGGATAAGGATGCCTTGACCTTAGAGCTAGGAGAAGCTGAACAAACTAGAGATGATTTGGTAATGTGTGTAGTTGATCTGAAGGAAACCATTTGTGAGCTGAAGAAAGAAAATTTTGTTTTAACCGAAAAAATTGCTAACATAGAACATGAAAGAGATGACTTAGTGGTTGTAGTTGTTGACCATAAGGAAACCATTGAAAACTTCAAAAAAGAAAGAGAAGCCTTAATGAAGAGAGTGACTGAGATTGAGGAAGAAAGAGATGATCTCTTGGTAGTGATTGCAAACCTAAGGAAAACAATAGAGGGACTAGGGACTGAGTCAAAACCTGGAAATTCTAAAAAGGAAAAGAGGTAGCCAGTAAGGAACACATTAGGCTTGAAAATGAGTTGAAGGCTGTGAGAACTAGTCTGTGTGTTGAATTTGAGAAAAACAAGCATTTCCAGACTTAACTCGAAAGAGTAAAAAATGATCTTGAAAAGTCCCTAAAGTGGACCTGGTCCTCAGAAGCTATCACTGCCATGTACGTTAATAATGGTGGAAACAGGTAAGGAATAGGACTCCAAAGGGAGAAAACCCCTTACAACCCCCATAGCAAGTATGTTACCATAGCAGATAACTGGTAATGTACCCATTATGGGAACAATGGGCATTTTAAGGAAAATTGCCAAGCCAGGGTCAAGTCCATTCAGAAAAACAAAGTGCTTGTTGAAAATGTAACTACTAAAAAGGGACCAGGTTCCACCCACAAAAAAATGCATATTACCTGTATAGACTAAGAGAGCTCTTATTCATCCTCTTGCCTACTACAAGGGACCCAAACTTGCTTGGGTTCCTAAAACTAACTCTTGATCTCCTTATGAGGGAACAGTGAAAGGAAGCAATCAACAATGGTTCATGGATAGTAGATGTTCAAAGCACATGACTGGGAACACCATGAACTTTCTTTCACTAAAAGCCCTGCAAGGAGGGAGTGTATCCTTTGGAAATGGGAAAAAGGGGTACATTCTTAGAGTTGGAAAAGTCGAGAAATCACTCACTTACTCTATTGAGAATGTGTACTATGTCAATGGTCTTAAGTACAGTCGCTTGAGTGTCTCTCAAATCTGTGATAAAGGAAACAAGGTGGAATTCTTGTCCAAGATATGTACAATTATTAATCTGGTAACTAGTGAAGTGGTACTTGTGGCCAAAAGATACAAGAACATCTATGTTGTTGATTTCGAGTCCATACAAAGTGGTGATCTGAGTTGTCTGAAAGCTGTTGATGATGCTGAACTCTGGCACAGAAAATTGGGGCACGCAAGCTTCTCTCTTCTGAACAAACTAATTCAGAAGGACCTGGTCCATGGTCTGCCCATGTCAAAGTTCAAAGTACAGAAAGTGTGTGATGCTTGTGCTAGAGGAAAGCATGTGAAGTCCTCTTTTAAGTCTAAAAAGGATGTAAGCACCTCAAAGCCACTCGATCTTCTGCATATGGATTTATGTGGCCCTATGAGAGTGCAAAGCATTGGAGAAAAAAGATATGTTTTTGTGATAGTGGATTACTACTCCAGATTCACATGGACTCTATTTCTTAGAACTAAAGATGAAACCTTTGAGGTGTTTGTGGCTTTTTTTAAGAAAATCCAGGTGAAGATAGAGTCTAGAGTCGCATGTATTAGATCAGATCATGGAACAGAATTTGACAATGCCAAATTTGATGAGTTCTGTAATGAAAATAGCATTACTCACAACTTCTCAGCTCCAAGAACCCCCCAGCAAAATGGAGTAGTGGAAAGGAAGAATAGAACTCTTGAAGAAATGGCAAGAAAAATATTGATCGACAGTGGGATTGTAGAGAACCTCTGGGTTGAAGTTGTCAACACTGCTTGCTATTTGGTGTACAGGTGCATGATCAGATCTCTCCTGAACAAAACCCCTATGAGTTGCTAAATGGAAGGAAACCCAAGCTGACTCACCTAAGAACATTTGGGTGCCAATTCTATGTTCTCAACAATGAAAAAGATCAGCTTGGTAAATTTGATGCCAAGAGTGATGAAGGAATCTTTCTGGGGTATTCTTCTCAAAGAAAAGCTTACAAGATATACAACAAGCGGACTCAATGTGTTGAGGAATGTATTAATGGTGTGGCTATGTGCAAGGTTTCAATCACATCCCAAGGAATCTCACCTGAAGGCTGCAAAAAGAATTTTGAGATATCTTAAGGGAACACAAGAAATGGTCATGTATTACCCCTCCGGTGACAGTTTTAATCTTATTGGGTATGCTGATGCTGATTATGCAGGTTATCTTGTGGACAGGAAAAGTACTTCTGGAATGGCTCACTTTCTAGGATCATGTCTTATCTCCTGGCGTACAAGGAAGCAAAACTCAGTGGCTCTTTCAACAGCTCAAGCAGAATATGTAGCTGCAGCCTCCTGTTGTGCTCAGCTCCTATGGATTAAACAACAACTAGAGGATTTTGGGGTATTTACAAATTGTGTGCCTCTTCTATGTGATAACACCAGTGCACTCAACATGGCCAAGAATCCAGTTCAACATAAAAGAACCAAACATATTGATGTGAGACATCATTTTCTGAGGGACAATGTGGAGAAAGGGCTGATCTGTGTGAAGTTATGCAGTACAGAAGACCAAATTGCAGATATCTTCACCAAAGCTTTAAGTAGAGAACATTTTGAAAGAAACAGGGTGAAGCTAGGGCTATTGAAGCCCAATTGAGAACCTGATTCCTCATTAATTGGCTATGAAAATCACCTTCAAGTAAAATTAGATAAAGTGTTTTCTGGCCAAGTCTAACTCACTTCAATACCGTTGCATATAAACACGCATGATGATTATAGAAGTTGTAGATGCATTGCATGGATGATAAAAGAGGATTGAAATTTTCAATGATAGGTCAAGAACTTGGTTCTTGTACCAAAGGTTAGTAGTTCTGTGCATTCTTTAATACACGTCTTGAAAAGGTACAAATATGAACTACAATGTCATCCAACTCTTCAGAACCCTGTTGTCACGTCTTTTCACTTCAAATCATTTCCTTTCCCTCTGAAACGTTGCAACTCTCCAAGCGCAACTGTCATTTCAGAACCGATTCCTATCTCTCTCTTCATAATTATCCTCTCTTATTAAAAATCATCTCCCTTCTTCACAGACCATAGTCCTCCATTAGAACCTCTCCAAAGAATTTTCTCTCCCTCTCTTCAATGGTTGCCACAAACTCTGAAATTTCTGCCTCAGTCTTCACTAACCCGGAAAAACCCATTGAGTCCTCCATTTTCGATGAGGCCTCTGTAACCATCCCTGTACTTATCCCTGAAATCACCCCTAACCTAGATTTCGTGTCTCCCTCCAGTTCTAAGGCGACTATCGCAGAAACCCCTAAAATCGTTAGTCCTTCCTCTCCAATTTCTGAGTTTCCTATTGATCAACAAAAAAATGGTGAACAAGGTTAGAGTCCTGAGATCGCAGAGGTTTCCGCCATTTATGCGTCAGATTCTGCGGTGGCCATGAAGCCTAAGGTCACGACCATGTTTGTGGTATCTGCTGATGGAGTCCTACATGAGATAGTTTCTGGTGCTGCCATGTCTTAGAGGAACAAGACACATGGTCTCGGGGGAGAAAGAGCCATTGTGGTTGTTGATGGCTCTGCTCTTGTAGAAACTACTAGGCCCTCTTGTGAAGAACCTGACCCCTCTCCGGAAGAAACAGATTAGGGAACTCACTCCTAGGCCAGTTCTGCTCATGCATCTCCTCCTCCATTTTCTATTGAGCCCTTGGACATTCTACTTCCTGAGATGAGGTCCAGTGATGATGAGGATCTGGACAACGCTTCTTTTGATGCATTCATAGTCAAACTAAGGGTAGTGATCACTCCTGAGTCTTCTACTAAATGACCTACTACTAGGTTGCAAGCCAACGTAGCTTATGACTCTGCCCTTCAAAAGAGCAGGAAGAGCAGTAAAAAGAAAAAGAGGAGACTGGTGAAAGACAATGAAATAGTGTGTGATAAGGTTGTCCCTGTGGTTGAAGTTGAGGTGGAAACAATAGAGGACCCTAGTTCCTTAGTGAGAATCAAAAGAATAAGTAGTCTGCTTCTGTAGAAAATGTTACAACCCCTAGTTCAAAATTGAAGGAAGTTATGCGTGAGCCCTCAGTTTCTGATGAGGATGTGTTGGTCAAGCCTAAAGGAAAATCAAAATCAAGTGGTATAAAGTTTGGGAAGAGGAAGATGGAACCCGTCAAAGAACCTGGTTCTGTGAAAAAGATGAGGAGTGAATCCAGCCCTGTGTCAGAACGATTAAGGAACCAAAAGGTCTTGATGGGTCACACTTTTGACCCAACAATTTCTGCTATGGCTGGTATGAGACAAGTCCTTGAAATGGTTGAGTTTCAATAGTGGGGACATCTCTTCCAAATGGATGCACCCAAGGTGTATGAGGAAGAAGTTCAAAGCTTCTATGCTTAACTCTTTCTCGTTGATACTGACCATATATGTGCCTTGGTTAATGGTGTAGATATTGTATTTGATGTGAGTCTGCTTGGAGAAATTCTTAACGTCCCTATTATTGGTGTGTCTACTGTGAAAGATGGGTGTGGATCAAACTTTTGAAATGTTGTTATGAAGGATAATGCGAACCAAAAGGGGGACCAGATTTACAAGAAGGCCTTACCCTCTGTCTATCAGTTGCTCTTCGAGTTGATGAACAAAGTTTTGTTACCCCGTGCTAAGAGGAGGTCCATGACTTCCAAGTCTGACCTATTTCTAATGGAGCAACTGGATGTCTTTACCCCTGTGAACTTACCTGCTATCATGATTGAACATATGCAGAAGGTAGAAACCTTCAAGGATGGCAATCATGGTCTTCCATATGGGTTTCTACATACGCAAGTGTTTAAGTTTTTCAAAGTGTCACTGGGGCAAGGCAAGGTAGGAACCAAGAAGTAGACTTTCTCTCAAACAACCTTGGAAGAATGTGAGTACATTGAGAAGAATAGGGGGACAGGAAGTACATCAACAATCTCACAGCTCATCAACATGCAAAACAGTGCAACTGAGGAGATTCGAAGGTTGAAGGCTAGAAATGCTATCCTGGAAGGTCAGCAAGCCCAAGGGGCCCCAGAGTCGAATGAGGAAGTGGTTCATTTGACAAAGGAAAACATTGATATCAGGGCACAAGTAGTGAACCTGAAAGTAGAACTGCTTAATAAGCAAAAGTTGGCCAATGCCCGAATAGACCTAGTTATCCAAACTCTTGTTGCAGCTTCCAAGTCCTCTACTCCTAGTTCCCCCTAAGCGACCCTTTCAGTGACCAGTTTCTGGATTGTCTCTTTGTTGTTTTAATGACTTGGTAGTTGTGTTTGTTTTCTTTTGTTTGATGTGGATGGGATGTATAGTACTGCTCCCAACTTTAACAGCCCAATCTTGCCTTTGCTTATAAAGCAAAGGCGTATGTTTTATATATAAAAACTATGCTCTTTTGTTGTTTAAATGTTTGTATTCCCTTTTTCTCTTCTCTATCATATTGTGTGCACATATGTGGTATGAGTTAGATTGGCTGGACTTCTTTATGTTGTTTGCCTGCTTGTGTATTTTTAATGATCCCAAAAGGGGGAAGATATATTATCTGAAACAAGAAACAGGGGGATCTAATTAAGGGGGAAGCATAAAGTCAGGGGAACTTCTGAAGTTCTTATTACTTCATCTAGTTATGTTTTACTCTAAATACATATTATCAATATCTAAGTTTGTCATCATCAAAAAGGGGGAAATTGATGGGTTTTCAATGTCTTTGCCTTATGTTTTGATGATCTAACAAACTTACTATCAAGAACCAGATAGGGAACCTGACACACTTGGCACACATTACAAATGAGCAGATTCCAGCCAGGACTCCAGCTAATGTGAACTGCTGCAAGTGTAAAAAATAGAGAAACAAGATAAGGACCTGATCCTTTGTGTTTCCCTAACAGCAGTATGAAAGTCAACTATGCACAGCTAGAAAGTGACTGCCACAGGAACAGTGCACACGGTGCAGCAGTTTTGCAGTTACTTGCCCTTTGACCAACCAAGTGCTTACATCATTCAAGTGATGTCATCAAAGGTGCATTAACAAGAGCAATATAACAAAACATTACTTGAACGCTTGAGAATTCACTTCAATCATTCAAGTCTTCTACAACAGTGAACTTAATTCTCAAGAGCTTGAAGAACAAAGTTAAACACTACAACGGACCAGTTCCAAAATCTAGTATTTTGTTGTCCTTAGTTGAGTTATAACTTTGTGATTGTTCTTATTGTAATTCCTAAATTGCTAAGCTAGAAACATGCTTAAGAACCCCTTTGTAAAACCATAAACTTTCTGAGTTTGTGTTGTGACTAGAGATAGTCATAAGTTAAAGTCTTTGTAACTAGTGAGTGACAAAGTGGCTTGTGGTAAGTGTATCACAGGTTAGTTGAGTTGAAGTATTTTTAATAGAGTCATTACAAAGTGACTTGTAATAGTGTATTTATAAGTTAGTGAATTTGAAAGCCTACAAGTGTAGGTTGTAATTTTTTTTGTCCCCTTGAGTTGGAATTTTTCCACATAAAAATTCCTTGTCTCATTTACTTACTGTTTCATTAGTATTCTCAGTGGAAACTCATAGAGAACCAAGTACTCTATAGTTTGGTGGACTCATATAAACTAATAGCATTTACAACCATTGTCTCGCATTTGCGGTATTCACAATTGCGAACATGGCTTCGCAATTGCGACACCTGCAGCTGGGTAAAAGAGGGGGAAACGGGACTTAGCTCATTTCACACCATATTTCTACCCTAAACTCTCTAGATGCGATTTTTCAAGAGACTTTTCTTCCCAAATTCATTGGTAAGTGACTTCAATCCATCTCCATTCAATTACCCATTACATTTCATGAGATTCAACATCAAATTTAGGATTTACATGGTAGAAATTAAGAAATTGGGTAGAATTGGGGGGTTTTGTAAAATTGAGATTTAGACCTCGAATTGAGGTCGAATTTCGAAACAAATTACATAACCGGGCTCAGAGTGAATGGGTAATTGGGTTTTGGTCCGAACTCAGATTTTGACAAAGTGAGCTCGGGGTTGAATTTTGTTGACTTTTTCAAAAATGATCAAAATTGAACCTCTTTCATTTGTGGATAATTTTTAAAGCTTATTTTGAATAATTTGGTCAATAATTTGCTAGATTTGATTGGTTTGGCTGGAAGTGGAATTTATTGATATTAGGGACGGATCCCAATTTCGGAAGTCGGAATAGGTTTGTGATGTCATTTATGACTTGTGTGCAAAATTTGATGTCAATCGGAGTTGTTTTGGTATGAAGCGGTGTTGGTTTCAAAATTCGGAAGTTCATAATTTTCTAGGTTTAAATTTGGGTT